AGTTATCACACTAAAACAGTCCTAAATGAAGCTAAAACAGTGCTGGAATTGAAGTGAAAATAGTTAAAAGAGTAAGTTAAAATAATGGAAAATCTAAGCTAGTAAACAGGTATAAGGATGGGTGACTAACTCCTCCATTTTTGGGACCTCAAAAAAACATTTTTAGTCTCTGAGAAACTCTGAAATTCAATGGTAAAAAGCTCAAAAAAAGTTGAGAAAAGAATGGGAAACATAAGGGCAAAAGCTTAGAGAACAAGGTTCAAAGAAGGTGGTTAACCCCCCCCCCCCCCCCAACCTTTGGTAGCAATTCATTGAGTCCAAAGGTGAAGATTAAGTCCTCCAAAGGAGGGAAGTGTCAAACCAAGAGTTAGTTTATGGCATGAGAGAGATGTCATGCCGTTGGTAATGAACCCCCAAAAGTGATTAAACCATTAAGCACGACAACCTCTATCTCAAGCTTACAAGTACAATCGGTTTGAAACAACACTCAAAGAAAATAAAAAGTCAAGAAATGAGGGAGGTTGCAGAGATGATTAGGGGTGATCACAAGTATGGAAAATACAAAATAAATGCTATCAATTCAAATAGATTGGTAGCTAAGGCTTGAACGACCAAACTTATAAGGACCATTACACTACAAGCATACTATACAAAGCATAAATGAAGTTATCACACCAAAACAGTCCTAAATGAAGCTAAAACAGTGCTGGAATTGAAGTGAAAATAGTTAAAAGAGTAAGTTAAAATAATGGAGAATCTAAGCTAGTAAACAAGTATAAGGATGGGTGACTAACTCCTCCATTTTTGGGACCACAAAAAAACATTTTTAGTCTCTGAGAAACTCTGAAATTCAATGGTAAAAAGCTCAAAAAAAGTTGAGAAAAGAATGGGAAACACAAGGACAAAAGCTTAGAGAACAAGGTTCAAAGAAGGGTGGTTAACCCCCCCCCCAACCTTTGGTAGCTTTAAATCACAAGTTTCAGCCCATAAAACTAGTGTAAAATTAGTTAAAAAACAACAAGAAAAGATAAGGAAGAAGTAGTGAAAAGATGCTCAAAATTATACCTCTTGAAGCAAGGCAAGTCTTTTGTTAGCAAACTCACAAGTTCTCACTCTCAATGGCTGAAATTTGGACTCAATAATCTCAGTAAAGAGAGCTCCATTATTTGTTTAGGAAGTGTTTGGGTAAGGTGTGTGTGTTGTAAGGTAGAGATAGAGAGAGAATTTTAAGTTTTGGGGCTTTTGGAAATTTTTGTAACTTAAAATCAAGAAGGTTGGCCTTGTATTTATAAAGAAACAACCTCTCAGGTCGAAAATATCTATATGCATATAGCTAGTATCATGCATGAACCTGTGGGAGGCATCTAGCACAAAATATCTATTTTTTGACACAAGTGGCCGGCAGGTCACTAGTGGACGGCTAGACAAAAATCTGTTTTTAAGCACGACCTCAAACAGGCATATCTCCCTTATCTGGATTTGGTTTTAGGTCATTCTTGAGTCTAAAATGAAGCCTCGGAAGTCTACTTTCCAAAGGAGGTTACCTCACATCTAAATGCTAAGTGTACAAAGAGATATGCTGACTTTAGTGAAGGTTGCTCATTTCCAACTCAACGGTTTGATGCCCAACCTTTTCCCAAACTAGTTTTCTTCCCTCTCCTCCTATTTTCTTTAACTCCAAACCTATAAATAAAAGGTTTTAAATATTTTTTAAAGAGTTCACCTCCCTTCCATTTATTTTCACTTTGCCCTTGTTTGGTTTGCTGAAAAGGTGCAATATTTTAAACGAAATGCGAGTCTCGAAACATCGTAGAAGCATTTGGAAAAATATTTTGGAAAAGAGGGTTTTAAGGTCTAAAATAGTTTTGGTAAAAATACTTTTTGTCAAAATGAGGTGTAAGGTTGGGATTTAGAAGCTCTTCTTGGTAAAGAAATCGAACGTTTGTGCAGTGTAACTTTCATCATCGAGTGATTAACCTGAGGCGCCTAAGTCTTATGGATGGTCAAAAATGGAGTGTCTATAGATACTAGCATAAAATCTGTGCTATGCACAGAAAAGTCAAAATTTTATTTATAAATTAAAAATAATGAACCTTGTAAAATATATATATTGCACAATGTTAATTTATATTTCTCTTTGTTTTTAATATTTTATTAAAAATATTTTATTTTATTTTTTTGGGTGGGTAGAATATTTAAATTTGAAAGAGAAAAAGAGATGTGCTTTTAGTTGTGGTATGAATCTAATATGGTGGAGTTAGTAGATTTTGATTATGATAGAGATTTGATGTGGTAATTTTTAGTAGTATAAGGTCGATTTAGATTAGTAGTGATTCAATATTTTTTCTACATCCAAATTAGGCCTTATCTTATTGGGTATTATAAATTTTGAACCTTATGCAATAAGAATTTTTTTTAGTGAACATTGGGCGACATGGTAAATAGTCTAATGATTATGAAATTTTTTTTAAATCTTTTTTATATTTATTACATTTTTTTTAATCAAATAGTTATGATTGAGATGTAGTCAAATATTTAACCCAAATGATCATGACCACATATGCCAATTAATTTATGGGCAAATTACCAAGAAGTCTTGCTTAAAAAATCTGTAGCCTATTTAGTCCCATAACCTTTTGTTTTTACTCAAAAGTCCTATAACGTTTTTGTTCTTCTTCTCTGCCTTTCTTCTTTTCCGTCTCTTTTGCTCTTTGTAATTTCTGACAATCATCGACGGGCAACCACATCTTGCTTCTTCTCTTTCTCTTTGTAATATATAGTCACCGACGACCGACGAGTACCATTGATTGGGGTTCACTGGCAACCACCGACCGCCGACTCCTTACTTCATTCTCACCGATGATAAAGAATATATGTTTCCAAAGAAGATGAGTAGATCTATTTAGATCTAATGTAGATCTACATTAGATTCGACTAAATCTAAACAAAAAATAGTTGCTGGAGTACAATCCTCTCTCTATATCTTCCTCTCTCCTTCAATCTCTTAATTTTTCTACATTTTCTCTGCTATACACTTCTCTTTTCTGTTTTAATAGAGAAAATTTTCAAGTTTTGAACAAGTTTTCGAGTTTTAGTTACATGTGGTGAAAACTGTAAAATTTTACAGTTTCAATTTTTTTTGGTGCTGGAATGAATCATAGTTTAAAATTGCAAAATTTTGCAATTTCATAACATTCTTCAAAATTGTAAAATTTTACGATTTCGTAACATATTTTCCAGTTTGATTAATAAGGATAAATGCTTAATAGATTTTTACTTTGAAACTATAACATTTTACAGTTTCAAAGTTTGTTTTTTAGTTTGATCAATATTGAAGATTATTTGCTTAAATTTTACAAAAATTGAAAAATAACAAATGTTGTTTGTTTTTTTTATTTCTTCATTGTTTATGTTTTTTGTCATTACATTTTTTTTTTCTTTTCGTTTATCAATATTTAGCACATTTGCTATGTTTTTTTAACTCTAATTTCTCTATTTATTTATTTTATTTTTTTCCGGCAATATTCTAGACATTCCGGTGAGTCTTCAATAATATTATTAATATCCAACGAATGTTTTGGACATTCCGGCAACTTCCATTGACGTTTATAACACTCCGGTGAACTTCTGGCAATACTCCGGTGATTTTTCGATGATATTGAACATTTCGGCGAGTCTCCGGTGACCGTCTGATAGAAATCTAATGGTAGTGGGATGTAACATCGTCTGTAAATTAAAAATAAAAAAAAGGAATTTTTAGTAACAGTTAAAAATATATAGGACTAATTGGTACAAGTATTTTGTTTTGGGATTAGGTGGCCTTTTAATTTTATATATAGGACTTATTAGTAAGTTCCCCTTAATTTATCTTTAAAAAATTTGTTTTTTTTTTTATTTTTTTTGATTTTTTGATTTTTTTTATTTGTAGTAGAATAAGATAAGTATTTTTAATGCTCAATTTTATTTTTAAGTTTAATAAATAGTTATGATTAAGTTACAGTCAAAATTTGATAGCCATTGAATATTTATAGTTTGAATATATGTTTTTAATTTATTTAAGTTACAGATATTTGAGATTTTTTTTGTTATAATGTGATACATAGACATTAGATATTTGTAATTTATATTTTTTTAATTTATTTAAGTTATAGATATTTGTGATTTTTTTTTTAAATAACGTGATAAACATTGGATATTTGTAATTTTATATTGTATATTTTTTATTAATTCATTGAATAATTATAGATTTTTTTTTAAGAAAATAATGTGGATGGATATCAAAGTGTAAAACGTGTGAGAGGATGAACATGGGAAGGTGGGACAATAGAAGTCTAACGGGTGGGAGTTGGTTTTTTTTTTTCTATTTTTTTAGGAAAAGAAAAATTGAGACATGCATTTGATGCGTTTTGACTGGTAATTTGTGAACAAAAAATGAATTATTAAAGAAAAAGAAGAAAAAAAAAAAACCGAGACATGTACATTACAATCTTCTGCAATCTTTATAATCAAAATATAAACTTACAAATGCTTGGAACAAAAAATTAAATTATTAAAGCAAAAGAAAAAGAAAAGCAAAGACATGAACACTACAATTTTCTACAATCTTTATAATCGAAATACAAAAGTACAAATGCTTGGAAGAAAAAAAATAAATTATTAAAGTAAAAGAAAAAGAAAAATAGAGACATGCACACTTGTTGATCTCTTTGCTTTGTTGGGTCACCATTTGTATCTTACTTATATACTAATCATCTGCATACACTACAAGAATTTACACATTTGGCGACCACTTTTGCCGACCAAAAAAATTTTGGTCACAAAAAAATGACATTTGGCGACCAAATATTGATTAGTCGCGAATGATCATTATTTTTGGCGACCAAATATTATTGGTCGCAGAAGGTTATATTTTGGCGACCAAAAAATGAGTTGGTCGCAGAAAGTGGTATGTTTTTGCCGACCAACTACAAATTTGGTCGCGGAAGGTCACATACTTTTTAGCGACCAAAAATTTGGTCGCCAAAAACTTGTTTTCAGCAACCAAAAAAAATTAGTCGCCAAATTAGTATTTTTAGCGACTAATATGTTAGTCGCCGTTGATTGAGATTTGGCGACTAAAATAATTAGTCGTTATATATTTGAGATTTTGCGACAAAAAAGGAATTTAGTCGTTAAAGGCGAAATTTTTTTAGAGGGAAATCTCGCGCCCACCCCTGTTCTCTGTTTACAATTACACACAACATTTTGTTCAAATTCTCCTCCAAAGCCAAACCTCACCCCATCGTAACAGATCGCCACATCTACATCGTCGATGATCCTCCTCCTTCTCCTCTGCCTGTGCCTCCGCCGAATCCGAGAAGATCGTCGAGATCTGAATCAGATTTGAGTCCTAGGCCGAGATCTGATCGTCGTGAGCGATCCACAGCGACACAATGGCTTCCAAATCCTACAAGAAGATCATCGATATCTACGACGACCTCATCCTTCAGGTACATACACTACCCCTCCTTCTATTCCATGATTGATCTCTCTTCTTATCAAACCCTAATCCTACGACGGTTCTCCTGCCTCTTATCTCTCTCTCTCTCTGTGCCTGATCTCTACGCCGTCTGAGAGCTTCAAGCAGTTCGATTTCGTCTAAAGGTTCGATCAATTTCAATTTCTCTTTTCTCTATTTCAATCTGTGTGTTGTTTGTATTGGTTTAGCTTTAATAAAACTGATCTGATTTGGCGTATGAAAGCAAGTCCTTCCATTTTATAATCTAGCTAAAAACTCTAGTTCCCAAACAAGGTCTAAATCTAGTTTCCATGGTTCTCAAAAAGCACATCAAAATGAAATTACATTTGCTAGTGAAGGCAGTTTATTTATATGTAAGTGGCATAATAGTTTTGGGATTTGTTGCTATGCTAGTTGCAACAGTATGGTTCTTGAACTATCGTTTGTTGGCCCTTTCTTCCCTGTATCACATGCTTGCTTTTTAAGCTGGAAAAATTATGTGTTGAATTTCCTTTCCTATTTCTCCTTAGCACATGGTTTCTCATTTTTAAGTAGGTTGGTTTCTTTTTCAGGGATCCATACTCGAAGGGAATTGATCCTGATGCATTGAAAACTTCTCTAGCTGCTGCATGTGGTATCTAAATTCTAAAATAATTCCTAAAAGCATAACAATTGCCATTCTATCTTTTAGTGTTTCTTTGAAAATGTTATATGCGTTTTGATGAGCTTTACACTTAGTTATTTGATTTGGTTGGTTGGTCTTAGTCGCGGAAGGCCCAAGTCATATTCCTGGATTTAATAGTTGTCTTGTTGGCTGAGAATGCATGTGATCACTTGATGTTGCACAGGTCTTTCAAAATTGTTATTTATTTTTTGCCTTTTTATATAATCTCAAGTGGTATGGTTAAAAAAATAATGGTTGCCAATGAAGAAGTGGCAGTTGCTTCTTATCCTTGCTCCTATATGCCCCTGTATTTATTTCTTAATTCTTGTCAATACATCTGTGCACCTAGTAGACTAGTGTGATAGATAGATTGGGTGCTCTAGCATTCTCCAATAGCATGCTTTCTGGACAATTTTCTTTTGGCTGCTAGATATGGGCGCGATAGCACTCTCTAGAAGCTTCCACCATTGTGCTTTATGTCTACAGGTGTTCTAGCTACATTCATATCATCCTTGATAAATTTACCAAGAATTTTCTCAATATAATGTGATTGAGATAATGCATATCCGTCAGATGTTTTGTAATTTTCATTCCTAATATAATATCTGCGACCCCCATGTCTTTCATATCAAATCTTTTGTTAAGCATCTACTTTGTTGATTTGATCATGTTTTGACTGTTTCCAATGATAAGCATGTCATCTACATAAAGACAAACTATGACATATCCTTGGTCAGTGTTTTTAACATAGACGCATTTGTCACATTCGTTTATCTTAAGCCCATTAGTAAGCATAGCATGATCACATTTTTCATACCTTTGCTTAGGTGCTCATTTTAATCCATAAAGGGATTTTACAAGTCGACAAACTTTCTTTTCTTGCCCTGGTACTACAAACCCTTCAGGTTGATCCATATAAATCTCTTCATTTAGATCACCGTTTAAAAAAGCTGTCTTAATATCCATTTGATGTATTTCTAAATTAAACAATGCTGCTATAGCAATAAGCATGCGAATAGATGTCATTCTTGTCACAGGGGAATATGTGTTAAAATAGTCCGGACCTTCCTTTTGTCTGTAACCTTTAACTACAAATCTTGCTTTATACTTGTCAATTGAACCATCTGCTTTCATTTTTCTTTTGAATATTCATTTATATCCAAGAGGTTTAGAACCTGGTGGAAGATCCACCAATTCCCAAGTATGATTTTGCATAATGGATTCAATTTCATTATTAACAGTCTCTTTCCACAAAGGTGCTTCAGGACCTGTCATTGCTGCCTTAAAGCTTTGAGGTTCATTTTCTAACAAGTATGTCAGAAAATCTGGACAAAAGGATTTTGATGTTCTCGCTCTCTTACTTCGTCTTAGTTCATCATCAGTTAAATCTTGTTGGTCAAGATCATTACTAGTCTCTTGTGTTTGATTGTCATTAGTCTCTTGATTTTGTGTACAATTATAAGTTATTTTCTGTGAACTTAATTCCTGTCCTTTCTTATAAGGAAAGACATGTTCAAAAAATACAACATTCCTTGACTCTATAATAGTGTTCATATTTATATCAAGTATTTTTGATTTATAAGTCCGAAACCGATATACACTACTATTCTGAGCATAACCAATAAACACACAATCTACTGTTTTTGGTCCAATCTTAGTCTTTTTAGGAACAGAAACTTCAACTTTCGCCAAACAGCCCCACACTTTTAAGTATTTGTAGGAAGGCGGTCGACCTTTCCACAATTCAAAAGGAGTGCTGTTAGTTTTCTTGTGGGGTATTCTGTTAAGAGCATAATTAGCAGACAATATTGCTTTCCCCCACAAGTTTTGTGGTAAGCCTGAACTTAGTAACATGGCATGCATCATTTCTTTAAGGGTTTTATTCTTTCTTTCAGCAATTCCATTTTGTTGTGGAGAATAAGGTGCTGTAGTTTGGTAAATAATGCCATGTTATGCACAAAATTCATTTAATGGTGCATCATATTCACCACCCCTATCACTTCTAATATAAATCAGAATATAACATCCATCAATTGTTGACTATGGTGTGCTTGATTCATAAATTTCAAAACAAATTCATGAAAAATCCAAAATAATTATGACTACACAAGTCAGAATTAATGTTTTGACAAAATCATATCATCATAAAGATTTTGCCTAAGAATCAAACAACTCAAAAATCTCATTTGATTGTATAAACTCTTGCAACTCATTTACGAATAAGTATCACTGTCACAAAAATATTTGTGATAAAAGAAAACTAAATTATCTCTACTAATGCAAGAGATACACCCCCATATTAATAAAATAGTTTATGGTTTCACAAATTCTACTACGCAAATAAAATAATTATTAACGACATCTCATGTCACATAATTCAAAATAAACTAAAAATCAACATAAAAGATTTCTTAAATTTACTTCCCAATTAAATGGAACGATACAACTACATACATCTTCATGTTTAAATTTCTCTGGTGTTTAAACACCCATCAAAAATTGATTGGAAAAACTCAAATTAATCCGCTTATGTACAAGGTCAACATATCAATTTATCATTCCAAATCACATGAAATTATTTTTAAGAAATAACTCGAGTTGATATCAATACATGCATATCATACTCATCAACTGAAAATAATGAATTAACCAAATAAATTAATCATGCATGATCCCATAACTTGCATCATGAAATAAAAAGATTCTCAACTCATAAATAAAATTCAACGCGTTTTGAATTTTAAACTCCAAAAATGACAAAACATACCTTCATTTAATCAGTTTGATTTGTACATAAATAAACTAATTATATACACATTAAAATGTTCTTGTGAATATATATATATATATATATTTTCTGACTCATGTGCAGAAACTATTCACGACTACGGATCCATACACAGAAATTAAAGAATGTATCAATAAACCAATAAAGAAAATAAACTTGCCACAAAGGTTTCTTCGTAATAAAAATGAAATTAGTTTGTAAAACTAATATTTAACTCCAGAATCAAATACTTCCATGTATACTCAAGATAAACTATGAAAAATTAACAAAATTAATTTTCTAGTTACTAAAACCACAAAATAATTTTATTTTTCTTGTTACTAAAACTAGTAAAATAAAATACCGAAATAATATCTGATTACAAAAATCAGAAAAACAAACCACAAATTAATTTTCTAGTTACTAAAACCAGAAAATAAATTACAACACAAAATAATTTTATTTTCCTTGTTACTAGAACTAGAAAAATAAAATACCAAAATAATTTTCTGTAACACCAAATAATATTCTGCAATTCCAGAATCAAATACTTCCATGTATACTCAAGATAAACTATGAAAAATTAACAAAATTAATTTTCTAGTTACTAAAACCACAAAATAATTTTATTTTTCTTGTTACTAAAACTAGTAAAATAAAATACCGAAATAATATCTGATTACAAAAATCAGAAAAACAAACCACAAATTAATTTTCTAGTTACTAAAACCAGAAAATAATTACAACACAAAATAGTTTTATTTTCCTTGTTACTAGAACTAGAAAAGTAAAATACTAAAATAATTTTCTGTAACACCAAATAATATTCTGCAATTGTTAATGACACCAGTATATTACTACTAGTTGTCAAAGAAAATAGACAGTATATTACTACTTTCCGTCAAATAGTTTATAAATACTATTTGTATTTTCTAACCAAAATATTACTTTGAAAACACAGAAAATCAAATATAATGAAGACACCAAAAATATTATGTCTTAAGATTGTAGGACAATCTTCACTGTATTTAAATAGTTTAAATTCTGTTGTGTACTAAACAACAACCAGAATATAAAGAAATAAAAGAAATGAGAGAATTTGTTTGATTACAAAAATCAAACTAGAAATAAAAATAAATAAATAAATAACAGATTTTATTTTGTTACAAAAACAAATTAAAATCTGATTTAAATAAATAAATAAAAACGTATTTTATTTTGTAACAAAAACAAAATTAAAATTTGAATTAAATAAATAATAATAACACCAAAAATAAATTAAATAACTTAATTGATTAATTCTTGAATAATAATCTGATCAAGTCCAGTGTTTGACACTGTGTCCTAAAGACAGATTCGTCCTCTCCACGGTGCTTTCAGAATATAGACGTCTATCTCCCAGGATGAAATGATCTACTACAAACAATAGCAGCACTACAAATTGTTTGCCTTACGAACACACTAAGTGTTTACACTCCTTCTTACAAGAAAATAATGCAACAAAATGAAAAATAAATTTGCAGAGCTTGTAAGTACGAAAATTCTGAATGTTAAAAATCAAATGAAGTGCTGATCTATTTATAGATGGAGTGGTGGCTTTCCATTTTGAATTAAACAGGTACAGTACCTGTTCAATTTGAATTAAATAGATACAAATCTGTTTAAGGCACTGTTTGGTTTGAAATTCGGGTGGATTTAAATTTGAACATATAAAAACGGGAAGGGCCTTGTTTGGGTGTCAGGAAAAACCGGACCAGTTTAATTCCAGAATTAATTTGAATTCTGGATTTTATTTTTCAAAAAATAAAATTTAATTCAAATGTTTTTTATCCAAAAAGATTAGTATTGGGCCAAACAAGCCCAACCCAACCACACACCACGCACCCGCGCCCAAGCCCAACCCGTCTGCCAGGACGAACGGCAGCGGCGCGCGCGTGTGATGATTTTTGAGTCCAATGGGTTTAGCCCATTTTACCCATAACATCCCTCTTTAAAACACATGGGTATCCCTTGGGGCACAACCAGAGTACCAAACCCATGCCTTATAAACCCATTCAAAACTTCCCACCAAATCAATATGGGACAAGCCTTATTCAAACCTTTAAGGATTTTTTACCAAAACTCCATTTCCATGCAGCATACTTTGGCTTCAATTTCCCATTCACTGGGTAATAGTTTTGAGCAACCAAATATACCATGTGAATCACAACACAGCATAGAACGTGTTACCACTTTGACCCGCGAAAATCGACACTCGGGGCCCACCTAAAAAATAGACCAAACAAAGGAAAAAATCCTGGTTTTGCCCAGAATTTTATAACCATTTCCAACAATTAGATCGGTAGTTGACCTTTTTTATGTTCACCTATTTGTTCAAGTTCGTCTTTGATGTCATACTATTCTTTTTTTCTTTTGCAATGAAATCTATAAGCGACATCTATTTGTTCAATTGGAAACAAATTTACTATTAATGGTCACAATTGGTAAATAATAACAAGTACAAACTATATGTCATGTGAATAGTGAAATGATTATGGTGAATGTGGATGTGAATAGTCGATGTAAATATTCACATGGGGACATTACAAACCACAGATAAACAAGAAGTTAAGTACATGGTGCAAACATTCACATAATATATGTCCAATGTGAATGTTCACAACAACAAATTATAATTTGATTCACACTGA